TCCCCGAATTCCCCCGCCCGCCTGGCTGGGGAATTTTTGGGGTTGAAGTCCACCCATCTTTAAGCGGCCCAGGATTGACAACACTGCTTTAGGATAATATGCACGTTGGGCACGCTTGCACAAAAATCCAATTAAGAGCACTTCCCCGTTTAAATTCATTCAAGCCAAACTTAGAATTGAAATTTAACATTCTCTGCTTCTGTCTTCTCCCCCATGTGCCCCTCCACACCGGCCCCTCCACCCCTCCTCAATGTGCTTCATTCTGTATTGCACAGCACACTGGATGGCGCTGGACCGATGGCACGCGCTCCAAGTACACCAGCTGGAACCCTACTGAACCCAATAATCGGACTGGGAAAGAATTTTGTGCAATTCTCTACCCTCCATCAGGTCAGTGGCAAATGTCATCGTTTCTCAGCATGGTTGGAGTTTGCGTCTGTGATTCCAGGGAAGCCGTCAATGCGCCCTTCTGCTCGTGACTTATTTCATGTCTCCTTCTCTCATTCTGCCTCCAGTTTTCTTTTGGGAATTCCAGCTTGTTGATTTATTCCTTGGAAACTTTGTGACTTCCTGCTTCGCAGGCTCTGCACACTCTGGCTTTCCTTAAAGCCTGTTATTAACTCTTGATCCAGCAGAAACCCAGGCAGGTGCTAGAAGGCCAGAAGTAGGTGACCTTCAAAAGCTCTTTAGGGATGACTAGTGGAAGTGCCCTGAAGCTGCATCAGGTCATCTGACCCAATGTTATGCATCCGTAGTGGCCAAACAGGTTGGACTGCAACAGTACTTCTCCACCTGCATCCCTCAGCAGTTGGTAGCAAGAGGCAGACTACTTATTCAGTATTATCTCCAATATTGTAGCTTATCTTGGCTGATCCCCAAGAACCTGAGCTAGTTCAGACCTGATTAGCACCTGGATGGAGACGTCCAGAAAATTCCAGGGGTTTAGGCTAGACAGGGAAGTTGAAAAACCATGCAGAAGGCAATGGCAAACCACTTTTGGGTTGGTGCAAAAAAGAAAAAGAAAAGAAAATGGAGATATCCACACAGACCCTGTGAACAGTGCTCAACTTGAAGGAGACTTTTTTGGGTGGCTGAGCTAAAGCATTTATGGAAGATCTTAACAGGCAAAAGTTAGCAATTTCTGGAATCTCATGAAGCTCATCATCTCAGCATCTGTCACAGAGACAACATAGTCTGGCTACTTCTTTCTACTGTTTCTCATTCACCATCAGATCTGGACAGCTGTGAATGTGTGAATTTATTTGTTTTATTTCAAATATTTATATTTATATGGCCACCCAACTCAATCAGTGGGACTCTGGGCGGCATACAACAAGAAACATAAACATGCAGCCTAAAACATCAGCTGCATGTCATTAAAAAGGTAACCCAGATGTGCAAAATAGCAAACTGAATGGAATAGATTAAAACAGTTGAAAACCCTGGCCACTTTAAGATGTGTGGCCTTCAACCCCCAGAATTCCCCAGCCAGCATGGCTGGCTGGGGAATTCTGGGAGTTGAAGTCCACACATCCTAAAGTTGCCAGGGTTGAAAAACACTGGATTAAAACAACCTCAGGGACTCTGCTCACCTACACCCAAATGGTCAAGGGAAGACCAGGTCTCAGCTGCCTTTATAAAGGAGTTGGGGCCTGTCGTAGCTCAGCAGGAAAGTTGTTCTGGAGAATGGAGGCAGCCACCGAAAAGGCACCCTTCCCAGATCCCATCAGATGGCAACAGTTAAATGAGAGGAGCTGCAGCATGCCCCCCCCCATGAGACCACGTGGGGCGGGCAGATGGTCTTGGGAGCAGACAGTCTGCAGGTGGCCCGATCCTAGGCCGTGTAGGGTCTTAAAGGTGATAACCAGTGATATTTCTTTCTTTCAGGGCACCTTAAATGGCTTGATGTAGACTGTCACCTCACCCTTCCGTTTCTCTGCAAATGGAAACCCTCTTAAGCCAAGTCTGCAGGTGGAGTTGGGAGTGCTCCCCATCTATCTGAAGCCTGAGCTGAAGATACTTCGGTCCCCTCTGAGACCCTTCTCCATGGTGCCAACCTCTTTTTCAGAAAGACCATCTGAATATCAAGCAGCTGGTTGCTCTCTGTCCTCTAGACTTGCTTCTCTTCCCCGCTTTCTGAAGAATGGGCTCCTCACTTGATAATAAAGTCTGCTGCTCTGCCATTGTCTTGAGTTTGGCCTTTCTCTCCCAGGCTGTCCAGGGCCCCTCTCTGAATGAGTCTCAGAGTGAAGAGAGTGTTGAGTCTGCAGCAGACTTTCTCATCACAAACACATAATGCAACCTTGCCGGTTCCTTTCCTGGGATCACATCTCTCCCACCCTTCCTCTCAGAGGTTTGGATGTATGGGAACAGATGTTCCCCCAAGGTGGAAAAGATCCATGCAGGGTGGGTAGTTCGAGAATAAGATGGCTGAACCAAACAAGACCAAAAACATTAATCAGCAAAGCTAGAAAGGAAGAAATACATTCATGATGCCCATCTTGTGGTTAACTGGCATCTCTTATAGGTTCTGGTGAGCAAGCAGTAGAGTCTCTCTCAGGTTGTTTGGTCTGCAAAAGCAAGGATGCTAATTTCCTTGCAAGGTTCCCCCTTCCCTCTGATGGCAGATCAGCTCCAAGGGGTCTTGGATTCCTATCCATGGACAAGGTCCAAGAGAAACCCCCAAGGCTGGGCTTTGTCACAGTCCTGTATGCAAAAAGGGGCATTAAGCCCCAGGTATTGAGCTTTGAAGAAGCAGGATAGAAAGAGTACTGATGCTTCTGAGAATACCGTGGACAGCCAAGGAAACAAACAATTGGATCATCAAACAAATCAACCCAAAGTTCTCACTTGAGGCACAAATGACCAGGGTCAAATGATCCTACTTTGTACACATTATGCAAAGACCCAGCTCTCTAGACAAGGCTGTAATGCTGGGAAAGGTGGAAGGAAAGAGAAGAGGATGACCAGCAGCAACATGGATGGACTCAACTGCATTGGCAATGGGTGCACTGCTGGAAGATCTGAAGGATCAGGTTGGGGACAGATCATCATGGAGAACATCTATGCCATTGCTAAGAGTTGACAACAACTTGATGGCGTATAATGAATCAATCAAGCCTCAAGTATTAGTTCAATTATATATTTCTGGATCATGATGCCTAATGCCACATTATATTTCCCTCCCAAGCCATCTGTCTGATGGCTGATACCCTGAGGTCTGCTCAGGTTTGCTCAGGGGTAAAACAGGTCAAGAGGTCAGGTCTCTGCCACAAAGGCTATATTTTGTTCAAAAAACCATTAAGATGTTGGTCCTCATGTTTAGGCTTTGAGGTAGATGAGGTTAAGGACATGGCCGTGGCTTGGGATCATCATCGGACACATGTGAAAGTAACTAGGTCGGGGAAGGCTGATGAGCATGCAGTCCTTAGTCAGGTCTAGTTGTCCAGCTTGTAACTGCTGGGGTTTCTCAAAAGTCGAAGGAAAGGCCATGATTCCTACGTCTCTTGATGGTCTTCTTGATTGTCCAGCTGAATAGGAAGAGTGGAAGCTTGCAAAGACAATTTAAGGAAAACTTTTCAACATTTCACAGCAACTTTCCTGAGGATAACAACTGGGTGTTTCATCATGCCCAATTAAACAAAGTTGATGAAATCCATTGTTTTCCATTAAAAGATGGTGATGCAATGAA